TAGCATTATCGACTTCACCTTATGCGCATGCCAAAACGCAACCGCGGAATGGTTTTTGGTTCCGTATGTCACGGAAAAATCTCGGATGCTCCAACATGATCTTCAAAAACGGAGTTTTACCACGTACGAGTCGTCAGGGCACCACCTTTGTGTGCTTGCTTGGTCGCACAATTAGTCGTAAGTTAGCGCCATGTGTCATTCCTAATGCACACACGCTTCGCTCACGTCAGCCACACCCCTTTCTTCTCATTTCACACGTCGTTATTAACGCAAAACTAACGGACCGAGATTAAGGCGAAGGCATTCCTTGTTGACTCAGCAAAGCATTGGCCACACCATTAACCAATTCGGATCTACACGCCACAACCGATTTACCACGACTCTTTCCGCCCTTGAATTTCTCCATCCTTCTTGCATGCAATCCTAATTTAAACGATCCAGGCACCACGGTTCAATCATGTTTGTGTGAGTCGCCTCTTCTTACGGCGCACACTTACCTAAATCTATAAATACCGCTTTCTTAATAATTGCTCTCGACACCCATTAACTAATCGCAACACTAGCGTAGTCAGGTAGAGCGGACCTGTCAATCTTGCATTGTTTGAGCACACTCACTACTCATGGTAGGAACCTCGCGAAGCCAAAATTTGGTGCCGTTTGCTTGACGTGGCACTGCAGGGGCTGACTAAGCGTTTCTCAAGTTCCAAAAACCGGACTCGTGTTTGTGTGCACTAGGGTGTTCGGGGATTACAGGGGTGTGTTTGTGTGCACTCGGAGTCGATCGACACCTGGCCTCCACCGAATCGTGGAAAATGTGTAGAAAAATAACTAAACGTGAGAGCAAACCCCGTAAACCACTTACAACTCCGAAATTTCGTCCATATTTAGTCGTAACTCACGACTACAGTTTTAAGAGACGAATTCGCCTTCCTGATTTTAGTTTGTACGGGTCTTGGCTAGATTGCTTAATAGCCTAACGAGAACGAAGCAGGCACAAGTGAATCGAGCTCAAATGATTGAGAAGGCTATAACCTCGGTACATGCCTATAGACTTGATCCAAATGCAACCTTCTTGTGTCCAAACAGCCCCGGTCTGTTATCGTCTTCCATGTAGGTTGGTAGTAAAAGGAGCACATTTCTGGTATGTGGTTGACAACAAGACGAATTCTCGTGGTTTTGTCGAGTGGAGCACAGGCAACCTCCTCAGTGCTTCGACGACTTCGCGATCGCCAAATGCAGGCGAGAGTTAGTTCGTTTGTTTAGTCGTTTGAAGATCAGGACGCATAAACAATGTCATCGCCACGCGGCACCAGGCCTGCTAAGCCACTCACGTGGTTGGTTTACACAAACACACATCTACTCAGCTCAAATTGCTCCACCAGGTGGTTACATCATCCGCGTTTGTCCGTGTGGTGATTTTCAGGTTTCTTCCTTAGAGATTGCAGCACCTACGTTACACGCGACATAGCAGGCGGCAACGAAAATGCAAATTAGTCCAACTAGCTACCCTCGACAAAGACGACAACACTCTCTTGTCCATACAAAACCATGTGAATGCGTTAACAATGTTGAGTCTTCAAAAGAATTTACTATTTATCCAGTAATTCCGAAAATTGTGTGTAGGGCTAAGCAAAGAGGGACTGGAGTGGTAAGGCCTTGTCAGGTCGGAGTGGTAGATTCAAGAACGACCAAATTTGTGCCACGTACACATCTGCCAGTGCCTCCATGGTTTCTTCGTAGTCGGCGTGAGCACGAGAACGTCTAGGCGAACTCAGGCATCCGTCGTTTATTACTCATCCTGCCTCTCTCTCTCTCCCTCGCCAACAGACGTTCACCGCGAATTGTGAAGGCCTTTTTGCTGAATACACACGGGGTGATTAATGTTGAGGGTGGAGTCAGTGGGGGGAGGTCCACGAAAGCAACAGGTGGTCCAGCGTTATGGAGATGCATCCACACCCTTTTGGTCGTGCTCTGACAACGTCGAGAGGAGTGAGAAGCCGAAAGAAGGCCGAATTCAGCTATTGTGATGAAACCATCCAGCCAATTGGACTTCCGTTTTAGCCGGGAGAGGCACACTAGTGGGTTGCACAATCATGCGAGATAAACATGTTAAAACAAAGCCTGCAACGAGATGCTTTGTTTTCTCACTTTGTAAACACCACGTTGGTGACCGCGACGTGGACATCGGGGTCAAAAAGGTCACAAACACCACGAGTTCTTGCGAAAAGAGATGCCTTCCTGAAAACGCCGAACTGCAATTAGTGCCACGCGCGAGAAAGCATGACTTGCATGAGAACACTTGTGATATGAAAAGTCGCTCACCAAATGATTTAAACTCGCGCCGCAAACCAATTAAACACCAAAGGGATAGGTGTTGCGCCTAACCATTTGTGCAACAAGTATTAATTACTGTGCTAAGCAATCTGGCAATGTGGTTTGATTAAATCAATTAAATTGCGTTCCTAACTAATAACAAGACGTAGGTTTGCTATTAACGCATACGTAATAATCAAATAAGTTTTAACATTTATTATTGCATGAAGAAAAACTGTACTTTAATTTATAACAAATGAAATATAACCGCAGTCGTATGCCGTAGCGTCAGCAACCAGTTCTTCCCTGGGGTTACAAAATTTTTTCATGCCACCGCAATAAAAATTTCTAGGGTTTGTGGAACTATGTACTTAATTCCATGTCAGTATTGAACAAACACTTACGCAAATTTCGATCAATGGTCCATGACGAGTAGAATTCCATGAAGCCAGGTCAGGAATAGGTGGAGAATGTAGCAAGAATTGCCGATCAATAGTTTGGACTGCAGCTTCTATGGAAGGGAGTGTGATTGGTTTTCTGGTTACTAATTCATCAATTACATGAGCTTTATTACGAGATGCTCCACCCCATCGCACAAACTGCACGTTCTCTCGAGAATGAAGATCCAGCTTTACCTGAGGTGTCAGCAGTCTTCATTAGGAAGCTGACTCAAATGATTTTCATCAAATTTGACGCAGTGTGAAGAACTAGCATTGTAAGTGAGATCAAGGTTGGTGTTTTTTAGGACGTGAAAATCATCGTTGCGCTGTCCATCTTGACACATTGGAACTGGAACAAAAACCTGCTCCACCGAAGACGACGACTTCCAGGCCACCTATCCACCATCACTGGCGTTTGGTTGGCGTCCTCATGCCACGGGCAGTTCAAAGTCCAAGATGATAGGACGCGCGCGTGTACCGGTTTTGTGTTTTAAATATACACAACAGCGACACATGACCCTACCGGCTAGGGGTTCCTTGAAGCTGGTATTTATCTGATAACCACGACATTTCTTTGAAACTGACAGTTCTAATCCTTTAGTTCCAACATAATATGACTAAATACGAACCTTCTATGCAGTTCTTACAACTGAAGTTTATGCGATTTAGTAAACACCGAGTAAAGACCATCGTGCAAAAGAAAGAGAGTGGCGAACAGTTAAATTTGACACATTAGAGCAGTTATCGGTGTCTGAGATTATGAGGAAAACTAATAAGCTGGCTTTGTCATGTGGGCCATTCTCAGTGACATCCAGAGCTGCACACGCTTACTGTGATGGATCCCGCTAACTCGATCCCAAATCCCGTTTGTGATTAGCACGCCCTCCTGACGCGATTTCAGCGTGCTTCTGCAATGCGCCTTCCAAGCCTTCTGAAAAGTGCTTCACGTCTATCAATGCCATTTACACAGAGCCTTCTCGTGTGTGGTGGTTTAGCTTGCCACAAAAAACCGCTATGCGCAGCGCTGTCAAAGGGGGATTTTGCCGACCTCGCTGTGGTGCCACTTGAACCTCCCTTGTGCCTCCGGCATCTGGAGTATTAACAAAAGATATATATATCGAGTTCGTGAATTAGTTGAACTCAGTTGAGTGAAGTTCTAGCAGTTGACTAGTGTCTCGGATACAGGTAAAACAGAAGACACCAAGCACCAAACTGAATTCATTGAAAGAAGGGTCGTTGGTTTGAATTTAACTTAAAAAATCAAGAAATTACTGCTACTAATAGAACCAATAAAAGCTACTCCAAACACCAGCTACCACTCCTCTTAACTACTACATGGATTAATCGACAGCAACCACTACTAATAAATACTACGACCGCTTACCACTAGCACTACTAGCTACAAGTACTGCGACGCAATTCGCCCGTACAATGCACTAAGTAGATTTCGGGCATATTCACTTTGAGAACGTAGTTTGTAAGATGTCAAATTGTCAATCGCGTACACACTTGGCTGCTGATTTATGAAACGTTAATCCTATAAAGGTGTTAGATTAGTGGTAATATTGGCCTATTCTGAAATCAGGACCTCAAAACTTTCCTTCTAGCGTGTTCATTGGTGACAAATAAAAAGATGTTGAATGTGGGGCTTGTGCTTATAAAAATATGCCTTCTTTTACTCTGATTTCTGTGTCAGTAGGTACCATGGACAGGTTAGACTCGAAAACTGGCCAAAATATATTGAGTGAAACCCTGACCACAAAGACAGCATAACTGATAGCCACGTCGGAAGGTTGTTCAGATGGGAAAATGGGCCTATTTTGAGGACAAAACCCTTGTCTGACAGATAACAACTATCGTGCTAATAAAAGTTCATGTGGATATCTAAAAAGTGTGCCTTGGATGACGATGGTTCCTCTCCGTGGAGTCAAATAAGTCTCTAGTGAATCATCCAGCAGGCAGTAATGCGGCGAAAACCAGACAGACGCCAAATTGACTGAAAGGATTAAGACAAATTCAACCGATACGCATAGATTTACTAACAACGGGATAATCAACATTATGACAGCTGAAGTTTGATAGGTTTGAAGTCTGTTAAAGTATAACATGGCCTGAGCACTGTCTGGCCGACACGGTTTCACTAAAATGGCCTTGATCTCTGAGAAACTCGGTAAGATAGTGAGTGCTGGTGGTCCGTCTTCAAGACGTGTTTGTTTAATTATTGCCATGCAAGATTTTTGCTTGAGTATGGTCTTGGTTGAAAATCCAGATCCAAAAGATCGACAGGCCCGTGGTCCTCACCTTCCTCTCGGCATCACCTTTCGCATATGCTCCACACCACCGGTAAATATTGCACATTATGCCGTGCTCGCCGGCTTGCCAAGTGAGTAGAGTGCGTATACTTGCATCTAAGCTGCGAGTTAATCACTGCCATCTTAGAGTCCAACGCCTTCCAGGAGAAACAGTTTTGGTCTAGTACTCAGATCGACAAGATCGCGCAACTCTGGTGATAATGATAACTGAATCTAAAGATTTGAAAAGCATGATCAGTCCAAGAGGAATCTGCTCATGGCATGAGATGAGAACAGATTTGCGACATCAAGTATTCTCAGTGGGGGTCTTGTGCTGAGTGGTATCATGTGTTCAACACTGAAAACGATGCGCTACCTCGAATTGCTCACAGTCAGAGTAACATGCTTGTGGTTAGTGGCCAAATGTCGTTGAGAGCGAGCTGCAGCACCCGAGTACGTGGGCCTATTGGTGGACTAGCAAAGTGCATCTGCGCGAGTCAGCAACTCAGATTGTATCGACCTAGCGCAAAGAAAAACCATCAAACTTCTATGCAGTAAGGCCTTATCTATAGTTAGATTCGCCGATAAATTGGCTAAAGAGAGCTTCAGAGTGCACTACGCTTGCTTAACACGGACTGTAGTTCAACTCGGGCAATCTAACAACTTAATGAGCATGTTTCATTCACATTTCTTCCTGATTGGAATGAAGGAAGATTTATTTGTGTTTCACGAAAAATGACTATCGTTAAACAGGATAGAACTTTTAGCTGATATTAGAGTCTTTCCAGTGTAGTCAGAATTGCGGATAACAATTACAAAGTCACAGATCTAAGGCCCTGTTCTTTAAAAGGTTGCACGTGGCAAGTGCGGATCATGTAACAACAAAAGCACATGAACTCAAAGGCGAAAAGCAACCCTCAAATAAAACCCCGATTTTGTTCAACAGAAAAACAAAGTTTATCGTATCAAAATCATGCTATATTTGCCATCAAAAGATTGTACTGTCGAAAACGAAATTACACGAAAAAATTGATGCATAGGAATAAAATTCATTCACTTCCTAGTTTGGCGTGATTCCAGATCGGTGGTACGTGTAGAAAATCTTTTCGATGGCACTGATGTAGGCCGCCGTACGCAAGTCCAAACCAAGACTATAGCGTTCGCAATTCTTCATTATATCCTAAATGGAAAAATACAAGCGTTATTCACGTCCCCCTTTCGATTCATTTACTCCGTGTTGTCGCAAACGTACTTTGGCTGCCCGCTCTACACTGTAGTGCAAACCAGATCGAACGACGTCTTCTTCAGAGATATGCTACACAATTTGCAAAACAATCTGTTACACAACGCTCAAAATGCATTAAAGGCGGCAAATGCAACCGATCAGGTCTAAACGCACGTCGTAACGATACTTGAATTCATCCGTCGGCTTGACGTCCACCTTCCTACCAAGGTGGGATTCCAGCGACTGGCTCACGCTTTCTACAACATTTACCACAAACTCGCGTCAACCTCATCTTCGATATGCAAAACCACGCAAACATCGAACTACAATCGACTCACGCAGCAGGTGGCTGTGATTGTCTTTCTCGTACTTGAAGTACAGCTTGCCGAAGCTTACGTGGTTCAGATTCTTCAACCACTCAAAGTACGACACGCTTACACCACCCGCGTTTGCGAATAGGTCTGGAATCACCAACACATTCTTCTTCTGCAGTATCTTATCAGCTGGCGGTGTTGTCGGACCATTCGCTCCCTCCACAATCACCTTCGCCTGGATACTCCCAGCGTTGTCCACTGTGATTTGACGTTCATTTGCTGCCGGTATCAGAATGTCACATTTCTCCGACAACAAACAGCCCTTTGTGTACGCCTGAGCTCCTGGGAATCCCGCAACACCACCATGCACCTACAAGTCACCAAACCATTCTCAATCCGCACACTCTCACTAACTAATCAAACAGCAACCATCTCCAATGCTAACCTTCTTGTATTCCTCCAATGCAATCGGATCAATGCCATCTGGATTGTAAATGCTTCCGTCTAGTTCGATCACGCCAATGCACTTGGCTCCGGCATCATGCAGGAGTCGAGCACTGTGTGATCCCACGTTGCCGAATCCCTGAACAATGAAGGTTTTGCCTTTAACACCGCTTGTCAGACCACACTTTCCGGCCCACTTCTCGTCGTTTATGAAGTTCTCCAGACTGTAAAACAGACCCTGCAACACACAACACACCGCACGTTAGCACGTTCTCTACATTGCGTGACAGCCAACTCCAACATACCAGTCCCGTTGCAGCTGTGCGACCATTGATGCCACCTTGGTTTATTGGCTTGCCTGTCACGCAGCCCTTCGCGTTGATATCCTGGTAACCTACAAAGTAACAATGTTGCATTGTCAACTGGAACAATGGCTGGCTCATTCGTCTGGCATACAACATTTAGCAACGCTTACCAATGGTCTGGGCGTATGTGTCCGCAATCCACGCCATCTCCCTCTCACCTGTTCCCATGTCTGGAGCAGGCACATCAATAAAGGCACCAATGAAGCCCTTCTTTGCAAGCTCCAGTGCAAATCGACGCGTGATGCGCTCTATCTCCTCCACCGAATACTCCTTCGGATTGATTCTTACACCGCCCTTCGCACCGCCATACGGCACGTTGAGCACTGCGCATTTGAAGGTCATCAGAGAGGCAAGAGCAAGTACCTCTCCCTTGTCACAGTCTGCAGCATAACGAATGCCACCTTTGCAAGGCAAGCGGTGGTGGCTGTGTTGAGCACGCCACGCCTGAATAACTTCGTACGAGCCGTCATCGCGCTTGATGGGGAATTTTAGTTCGATGACATTGTCGACTGCTCGAATGCTGTCGAGAACGCCCTTGACGTATTTGCCTTTGCTGTCTGACGAACCCTGCCATGGCAGCTCCTCCATCAATTTCTTTTCCACGTGTTTCGCAGCGTTGTCATAAAATAGACCAACCATTTCGTGGAATGGTAGTTCTTGAGCTGCAGTGGAAAACGCTGCAACGTTCCACACCTGTCGCTGCCTTGCAACTCCCAGAAGCTTAGATGTGACTTTTGACAACATCGCTAGTGTGCACGCAAGGAAGAGCTAAATTGATGCTTGCAGCCAGATTGTGGGTTTAAATAAGTTCCCTCGACCTTGACATCAATTCTAGATGCCTTTAAACAATTGTAATATTATATTCTTTTTTATTTAGTTAATGACATTTGCATAATTGTAGGCAAATAATGTTAAATATAACTAGGCTTAGATCTAATATTTGCTTTGTAAGCACTATCCTTTTTCGTCCTTAGATGATTTAGCGATGCTGAATAAGTACCTCGAAGGAAATTTGTTGTTAGCTATATTTTTTTTGGATGCAGTTTTGGTTTTTCTTTAAAGGAAAATTGAATTAGATAGTTTTTGCGGAAACCTTTTTGCATAGTTTGCCCTTTTTCCCTGGGCTCCATAATAATTTATGTTGCAGCGTATATTATCCTACAGATTCATATTATGCAGTTTTTATTGTCTTTTTTTTACGCAGCTTAGAGATGCTCTGTAGACTAAAACTAAATCAAAACATGCGCAAAATATAAGATTGATATTTTCACTATTTTTTAGTTCAGAAATTTTGGGTGCTCTTTAAAATGTGTAGTTAGCGATCAATCGGCAGAATTGGAGTAATTTTAAGGCGTATGCCTTGTTGGATATATACATTCACGATGTGAAAACTTTTAAATTTTAAGTGTTTGCAATTTATACAATAATTTTTTTAAGATCAAAATGCAAGCTTGTGAACATTTCTTCCAGAAATATACATTTTTGAGTTATTCTAACCTACAAACTGCGTTGGACTTGGTTAGTTACCAGCATGTTGCATCGGTTTAACATTGCTCAAATTCTTTTTTGTGTAAAATAGCATCTTCTCCTTTAAACAATTATGGTTTAAAAATTAGACATCTTCGTTAATGTTAAGATAATAATGCAAAGTTTGGCGTTAACTGAGACAACTGTTTTTACTATATCAATTTTAAACCGTTTAGTTCCGAGTAGCTGGCACTCACATGCCTGATTTTTTTTGATGCATTGAATAAGTCGTTTTCGAAATTGTACATCTTGTCTAATAACATAACTGTGAATAGGCAACCTCTGATACCTAATGCTACTTCTGAAGTTTTTTCCACAATATAAGTTTGCATGATTTTATTTAACCGGACTACTACATCTCCGTGAGACCAATTTAGTCTGAAGCTTTTACGTTATAAGTACAGTTTTACTGGGAATTAAATCGTCGAGATACACACAAGGAGATTGAAATTAAATCCAGCATAATTCTTAGGTTTGTCACAAATTTGTGATTATTCTTTAAGGTAATTGAATTATTTAACTTATTTTAGCGATGAAAAAATCAGCTGGAATTTTCACAACATGCTAGCTAGTTTAATTTACCCTTTTTATATGTCGATTTTACAAGTTTTCCCTAATGGATTTCACTGTTTCTTTAATGAGCTCTGACCCAAGTTGTTTTAAGATGGGATTAAGCTGGGCAAATGCAAATAACTAGTTTCACACTTGTCACCGTGTAAAGAAAGGCCTTATGTTAAAAATTTGTTGAGCAAACACGTGTCCAATCATATGAGTATGTTTTCGTACACAGGATCAGAGCACAAATAATTTTTAAAACTTATTATTTTCTGGGCTTTATGACGTAAGTTTCGATTTATTACTTTTGGATAATTTGCTAGTGAAATAAGTGACAAAAAACTACATGATCATGTTTTACTGTTAATTAGCACGAAGATACCAAAGTTAATTCTGAGCATTTTTCGTGCAATAAAAGACTTTTTAAAGGGTTTTAAATCAGAGTTTTTTTAAGGCAGGAATCAGAATGAGTGCAGATTGTATCTTCACCGGCTCTTCAACATTTATTTTTAAAGTGGTGAAATGATTACAATTAATCAAAAGCGAGGGTATGCTAATTAATTTATTTATAAATGCACGTGCAAATTTAGGCTTAATTTAGGGAATTCCATGGATCAACAATGCAGTTGCAAGCTGTGATTACCTTATTTTTCGTGGACTTCTACTATTGTGTCAATTCAACCAGCCTCCTGGTTTTGCTAATCTTGATGCATGCGATAAAATTCAAAGCGAAATACAAGTACTAATAGTAGCACAAGGTCTTTTTTTGTGAATCAAGTGCTTGTGTTGAGTTTTTTAAATCGAAATAATATAAGTACCCTTACCAATGCATAAATATTGCACAAAAAATTAAGAGTGGTGCGCAAGTAACTTAGGCGCATTTTTAAGCTTGTTTCGTAAAAAGTAAAAAAAAAATAGTAGCGGCGTATAATGTTTCTAATGCGTCCAACAAAGTAACTGCAGACCATTTCAAATAGATGATTACATTTGTGGGCAAAATTTTCCCCGAAAATACTTTGCTAAAATGTGACATTCATTAATATACAAGTTTTAACAAAATTTTGAGCGCATACTAGCTGATAATACATTAATTTTTTAGTGCTTTGTCTTTACGTAGGTTATTTAGGTGGGCCGCCTATGTTGTATTTGAATGGCAATCTACCTTCTTGATTGGTTTGCTCAGAGTAATTGGTGTTTTAGAGTTGGGCTTTTTGTCAATTGCGCTTCCTTATTAATCTTTTGTACTACCTTGTCCCTTTTTTGACATGACATCTATTGCACAAAAAATGTAAATGCAGTATTTGGATTTCACTTGTTTTTAGACATTTGAAAGGCAGTGATCATGCCAAGAGTTTTGGTATTTGTTCATCGTCAGTCGACATTATTTCCAGCCCCGCTAGCGCTTTGCAGTCTATCAACAAAAGCGCCAGCAATTCTGTAATTTTTGTCTAAAGTTTAATTTTTGCAGTTAATATTAGAGCCCCTGGTTTCGTATGACTGGGAATACAGGTATTATCTATCCAAATTGGTGACAAGCCACCCAGTGTCTGGGAACTTCGCTTGGTTTATTAAAGGTGCTTACCGTTGAAAATTTTATTTTCCAATCTAGGGGCTGAATCCAAAGCATTAGTCCGTATCACTCACAGTGTAACACGTACCAGAACCCTTCTAAAAGATTTTGACGGAGGGTTCCTTACACTTGAATTCTCTACTTACCCTATTCCATTATTGGCAGTTTTAAGCCTAGATGGATTTTTAAAAATTTATCAGGTATTCCACCTTTCCAATGTTAACACCTTTAAGGTTAATCGCACAGAAAGTGTGAATTCGCTGATTTTTTCTATTAATCTCAAAGGATCTCTCCAGAATATCAATAATTTCTGTCTAAAATGGGCACCAAGGGCCGTTGACCCAGAAATAGCAAAAGACACAGGCTTGGTCCTTGCTGTTGCATTAAATGATATGGTAAGTTCGTTCTTTATTTGTGATGTTTTCTAGGCATATGTAATCGATTTGAATGGAGTAGTTGAATTATTATTACTCAATCCAAGCTCGAGTACATGTGATATGAATGCAGTTGCTTTACAATATCAGTCCTGCCCAAGACTGTTGAAGAAAATGGTCGTGGAATTGCCGTGTCAAGAGAGATACATTGACACCATAGATTTTTCGTCCGATGCTTCAATTTTCCTCATTGGTTCACAAGATGGGAAAATATCTTTATTTAAATTATCAGACTTCAGCGAGGAGTCTCTTCAGTACGTACTCTATTAGTAATTCATTGATGAATTTTTCCTAGTTAGTCTCTAACAGATATCCCTTGTCCTTTTTACAGACCCTATCATGAATGGTTCCCTCACGGGTCCTCCGAGCTGAGTGCTTCCCACGTAGTTGATTTTAAAACGTATGGGGAATTCTTTTATTTGTTTTCATTCCAATTTTGTGCATCTACGTTCGATCCTGCTTTTCGTATCATTCAGTGCCGCCTCTCCCTCTGGTTATCTTATCAGCGGGACACACTTTAATAGTGAATTGTGCCTCTGGCGGCTTCACGACTACAGCCTAGTGCAGTCTATTCGATTTCGTCCAACCGACGAACAGAACCAAAGCGATACACAAAAAGCCCAACCCTCTCTTCTGATCACTTGCTTTGACAGGACAAATAACCTGCTGTTCGCTAGTGATATTAAGCGAACAGTAAGTCGACACGTTCTATATACGTTTACTTTGTGCTATTAAGTGCGCGCCATAAAGCTTGTGGTATTATTTTATACGCGAAACATTATTTTCATTGCCATTTTATGCTTCGTGTGGTACACAAATGTCCTGCAAATTTTATCCTGTATTTTGTAGTCAAGTTTAAAGGTCACGGCCGTCTTTCTCGTCGATTTGTATCCAAATCACGCCACTGTTGGTGCTTCATCGGCCCTTGTTTGCTAAAAAAAAATTATGCATAAGATGCGTTGCGAAAAACGTTTGTGTTGACAACTATTTTAGTTTGAGTTCACGGTGTTCAGTTTGTGGGTCTATCAGGGCGCACTTAGAGGGTGTCCTAAAAACACCTCGAAATCTACTATCGTACTCACTCACGTGTTCAGTGGTTAGTGACCTTGACACTTCCATGCATTTCTACATGTTCAAACTAAAATCGATTGTCGTCAGTCAGCTGTATTGAGGAAGCACGCAAGCGCCTTCCTCTTACCTCGTTTTGCATTAAACAATGCCAGATAATCTAACGCGCAAGTCTTATCGCCAAAGGCTACCAGCCAGAGTGTGCATATGCTGTCCGTCTAACGATTGTCAGAGCAATAATTCGGGTAGAAGCGTCGTCGCCACTGGCACCGTCTCTGCAAGGAAGAGAGGCCGCTCCTCTTCTAGGGGGTGTCATTGCTCAAAAGCCTTCAACCTAACCCTCCCTAAACGTCAGCGTAGGTCTTGGGTAAAGTCACCCGCCACAAACAAAAGAAGAGCACTACATGCGAATAAGAGGAGAGCGGTTGGTACTAGGCGCCGGCGAAATCAAAATGCGGGTGTTAAAAAGAGCGAAGGCGATGAGCAAACTCCTTCAACGTCTCAGACCGTGGACGAAGGGAAGGGTTGTGAGAGTGAAGAGAAAACTGAAAAACAAGAACCGTCAAATTCTGAGCAACAACAACAGCAGCAGCAACAAGCCGTCCCTGAACCGACTCCTTGTTCAAATGAGAGCAACGCAACTCCTGAGGCGTAAATGCCTGTGGTATTCTTATCACTGGAATAAAGATTTCTCAGTTAGATTGTTTTTTTTACGCTTTCCACTCCATGCATTCTCGTTCTTGGTACATCTACACGTAGTACCTCATTTTACCTCGGTAAATATACCCATTTAAATAAATATGCCAATAAATGTGTGGCTTTAAGCTAGAAGTGGAGTTTTAGCACGGGAGCATGTACGGGGCCGATATTCAAAATGTCCTCTTCGTCCAGGTATCATTGCGTGTGGCTTCCGCCGTCGTATTCACACATGTTGCTTGTCGCTAGGAAAATTAATTCTGAGGAGTGACGGGCACGCGCGCGCGTGTGTGTGCGTAGTGACTCGCATTGTCGTACCACCGTATTCAGTGTCTCTTTCGTAGGTTCTGTACGTGCTGCATCTGGCTCGCAATCCAGAGCGGGATGACGAGGTGATGTTCCGGTGTGTGAGCGAGTTTCTCCTCGTCAATCCCTGCATCGCCTTCGATGTCAGTCGGGTCTCGCGGACCCTCTCCCTTAGCCTTCGTGAGTTCCTTTTGTAATCTTGTCGATTGAGCTCTTGTTGCATTTATATGCATGAAGCCCCAAGTGCTCTCCACCTCACTGACTGGAGTAAATTTATGTATGCAAAGGGTTGGAATTACTCGTTACTACACGCTAATCACACACACACACACACACACGTCTTTCACTGACAGTAATTAAAATTTGTTACCCTTGTACTTGAAATCAGTTGTTAAAGTAGTAATCGCACTAGTCGTGGTACGTAGCGCAAATCTCGTTAACCAACCAGTTAGCTGTGTCAGTCTGTCAGCGTTAGTCAATCGGAGAGCTTTCATTGTCTTTCGTCCTCGTGAGTGGTGTGTCCAATCAGGTCTCGGACCTACCGACCTTCACCATATTTATCACCTTACCGCCGTGCTAGCACGGGCGTTCATTGGTTAGAGCCTGATATTTCTTTATATTGTCATTGGTCAACTTTATTTTTGTGGAGTATTTAAGAATACTGCAATATTCCGGCGCTTAGTTACAATCAACACGAGGTTTGTATTTTTTTATCGGACTTTTTTGTTCATTCATGATGCAAGGTTGCCTATGAACACCATGGCTGTCAGAGCTAACTTTAAAATTTACCACGACGCTGGTTCTTTTTAGCAATCGTCGATTGTGAGTCTCTTGACGCCGATAACATCGAAGTCCTCCTAGCTGCCATCTATCCGGGGTAAGTGATGCAGACTTTTGCGTCGACGGTGGCGTCCTTGTGGCGGTCATTAATGACTTTCCTTAATCTTCTCTCTGATAACTCTCTGATTGTCCCCTGTCTTCTTCACTGACAGAGAATTGCAAATTGGGAAGCTGCGTTTCTCCGTTCCCATGAGCACGTACCTGAACAACGCAGAGGGTAAGGCTCTACTGAAGCCAATTTCTTGTTATCATCTATTCATGCATCACTTTTAATCTGCCATTGCCCCTTATCGACCTAATTTCTTGTGCTTTGTTAGACAAGGTGTAGTTCTCTAGATGGTGTCAAAAAAGCATTCGATCAAAAGCCGGTGGATACTTCTAGCTTGAGGATTAGTTCCGTTAGTAAATCGATTTCTTTCTGGTTCACTCGAAACTGTCGACGGTCCTCGATTTTTTTTCGCTTTGTCGGACATGTTCGGTCATAAGTTAGTCAACTGACCCCGCATATTTTAAACACAGAGCAGATGTTGGGTGACCACTGACCACACCCCAAATCGATTTCTCTCTGTGTTACACGCGTTGAATTGCGGTGTTGCAGCCATCGAAACAATGTCTGCCAGACCCTTCACTGATGTCCATGTAATCAGCCTGCGGTTGAGGTGTTCATTTGCTTTTATTGCTTGTCGGTAGATGCGCTAGCAGAACCGGTTGGTTGTGGGGACGAACCCAGCGTCGTCAGTGCGTCCACTCCGACCCCCACGACAGAAGTGACCCCACTCCCCACGGTGCGTTATTGATTTTTCTCCCTGCATCCTCACTCTGTTTAACCTAACTCCACTCATCTGGTATTTATTGTAGTCATGTCGTTGTTTGTTTTCACCCCTTAGGATCTCGCTAATCCGGAGTCCGACCACTGCCCTTCTCCAGTTTTACCCGAATACGATGTAATTCCTATGTAAGTTGTGCTTTGTATTTCAATTCGCTCTGGAGCCTTGAAAGTCCGATTATGTGGTGCTGATAATAAGCGTTGTAGTGAGGTAGCCTTCGAAACTTGAATTGGCGCACCTTCTTCCACCACCGTTTGTTTTGACCTTTCTGATTTAGAGCAGGCAAGGAGACTGACTCTCCAAACGACACCTCTCCATTTCCGCCATCGGAGATGTCTGACGCGGTGCCTAAGATCTTGGAAATCTCGACTACATTGCCAGGGTCAGAGAACTCGTCTTCATCGGATTCAGGTAGGATTCGCTCTCAATTTTTTCAGTTTTGTTACCGCTCGCGATCCACGACTTGCCCAGCCATTTTGCGTAGGTGTTACATACTTCGCGAGTCGTATCACATCTATTAAACCTGACACCACGTTGAAACGTGTTGATTCACGCTGATTACCTCGATCATCCACTCGAACTTCGATGTTGCGCCCCTCGCACACATCCGCGAGTAGCAATCTTGAAAACATTCACACGCTGGTTGGCTGCCCCCTCATTGTCCTCGGTTTGGTTGCGCATCGCCCCCAGGCTTCAACGTCACTGGTTGTGTTAAGCCTTTCTCTCCCTACAGTCTGGTTGACAATTTTAAATTAGTGTTGCTGATTTCTCCCTTTTTCTATCACTTTTAGCTACTCCACAAGGCCATTCCGAAAACGAGGCGTAAGTCAGCCAGCGTAATGCTCTACCCATCTGCGATGGGCATTTGGCGCTCATTTTTCACTCATTCCTCCTTTTTTTCGCAGGGATGTCGCACATCCGCGTCCCCACTCGAATTTGTCCACCAGCGTCTGCTCTGACGCCACTGCGCCACCGCCTCCACCGCGGTCGCTTCTGTCGATGCACAAGAAGGCCTCGGATTCGGTGCCCAACAACATGGATTCGGCAAGTCGTCGATCTCCCTCTCCCAACTCCTCGGAAGTCTGCCTTCCCACTGGTGAGTGCTCTTCCTCTTACCGTTCAATTTGCCAATCGCCTCCACGGGGTCGCATCGCGCAGTCGCCTTTACCTTTGATACTTTACCACAGACTGAAAATAGATGCGTAGGTGGTGCTGCTTGAATCTATGATGGACGTTGTTTTATTTCACCGAATCTGCTCCCGTGTACCTTGCATCACAAAGGTCCGTCCCCAAAATCGGACACAAACCGCGTCACACTCATGTGGCGCTTCTCGTGTCGTGTCTCTTCTACTGATCAAGTTCAAAGGCCTTGTATAAGATTGTGGCGTTGAAGGCTCAGCCGCGTAATACTTATCGCCATTTTAATCGTCGCTTCACCGGCACTGCTGTTAACCCCAATCTGACTGCAAGTTTATCGACTGCATTGTATTTAGGCGTGAGACGCATAGTCGCGTTTAAGTGTGCAGCTATTACCACCCCTTTTTCTCTAGGTAATCGGGGCGATCAAAACGACGATGAACAGTTTCTAGGAGTTGGTAGAAGACAGGGCGAGTTGTCAGATTCGGTTCGCAGTCTTGCTGGAAGCAGCAGTTCCTCCAGTCTGGAACCATCCAATTCCGGTGAGTCGCCTTCTGCTCCTGCGATGTATGCCGCCCTCTTACTGCACGAACACGTTAATCAAAATTCGATCGTGTTATACCTCTAAAATTGGCGTCTCCTCACTCTGTCGAGACTGTTTGATCCCCTCTAACTTGATGGTGTGAATGCGCACAATTCATTCCTAATTTTGCACGGCATGACCTTCCAAAAGCAACCATTTTCGTGAGTCGACCGGACGTCTGTCATGTGCCCCTGCCGTAAATGTTTAATGACTGGGAAAAAAGCGGCGTCCCACAACCCGTCGTTTGCTGTCCGCAGGCGTTGTTTAGCCGCAGCAATGTGCGTCAATGTGTAGAAGTCCACACATGAATATTTCGGAACAGTTTGATCGTGGTTGTACTCGCGTACCGCCTCACACGCAAGAGCGCCGCTCGTTAAAATGACGTAATGATCCACCAGTCGGTGAGTTAATTGCAAATGTGTTGATGGGCTGGAAAATGAGACTGCTGGAGCTGAAATCAACTCCGATCTGATCTTGTAGTAGTTGTGCCTGTTTGTACACTCCGTGCTCTGTTTGTACATCTGTTCTTGTGATTTCATAAAAGGCCAGTGGCGCATTTTCCTCGGTTGCTAACGTCTTCTTTCTCCGTACATCAATATTAGGTAATCAGCCCATGTCTCGTTATGTTGTGTTAGACGGCAGGGCCTTGCGAAAATCCAAGAACCCGAAATTGGCCGGAGACGTGCCTGAGTCCAACCGCAGCTCGCGCCTCGCCTCGTCCGCCTCCGCCCTCAACCTCGGGCGTTTCGATGCCTCCGGTAGTGGGGGTCCAAAACTCGACTTCTCGCGACCCCTTTTGCCCTCCATGATTCCTCTCCCGGGCTTTTTAGCCGAGATCGAGGAGTCGAATAGGAAAGTTGAAAAACTCATTAAGAACATGGAGGCCATTGACGCTGAATTAAAGGCCTATGCCAAAGCCCTCACCACCCTCTTGCGTACGTCTCACCCAGAACTCGCCCTGTTAAAACGTGTGTGTGTGTGCGTAGGCGTTAAGTCTAATTACCAGCCTACTTAGGCATTTGGCCGTTACACATAATTCATTCATGAATCAGTTGCCACATTTGTGTTGCCAAACCCTTTGATTTGTATTGTGTGGTTTCTCGACATGCGAATGACATTTACGCTCTCTTTACTGTTGGTTTTAGTGTGTGTGTAATCCTGTATTTCTTGTCAACAAATTTAAGCCTCGGCCTTGCGCGAATTTCCTTAAATCGGATAAGTTTGTTGCCAGGTGATTGGTCGAAAATCAGGGGAACTTGATTAATTTAGAGTAGAAATGCACAAAGTCCATTCTCTACAGCTTGATTTGCTCGAATTCGTCGAGACCGAGGTGAGAAAGTGGTGTCCAAATCTTTCATGGTTGTAGGTAATGTGCAAGAAAATAAGAGCCAATTGAAGATGCTGGCTGAAGGGCAAGACATCATCGCCAATCAGGTAAATCACTTGGTGAATTCGACTTCACCTCCGTCTGCAGTGAACCCCCCTGCTTCCACCGCTGCTGCTGCTCTTGCTGCAGCACCCTTAAGCCCTTCGATCTTCACCACCCCGATTACGGACGAAAGTAAGCGGTGGCTGTGGCTTTGTGCGGTCAAAAGTAACAACACGACTCCTGATTCAAACCGTTTTCAGGTCCATTTTTAGCCTGCGACATTGAATTTGTCTGAAAGTGTGTTGTGGCGTTATTTGTTAGACCATTTTTTTGCAAATTAATTGGTGGGATCCTCTCAACAAACCTCATAAGACCGCGCTTCCCAGCATTACCAACCTAGTGCGTGGTTTCTGTTGTTCTATTAATCTAGTAAGTATATCCGAACCGAATCCTCTTGTGTAGAACCAGGAAAGTGTCGTTCGAAACTCTTCCTCGTGGTACTCGTTCACCTCGAATTGAGTGCTTTTTATTTTAAAGCGAAAGTCGAAATAGTGAAGCGTCTCTCTGAGTTGGAAGGCGTCTTGAAGTCCATTAATATATCTGGTCATTTCACCGGCACAACTGGCGCGTCCTCAGCGGCTAAGACGGACGCTGGATTGGACAGCAAACAGTTGAAGGCCTACCAGGATCAGACTCGTGGGATGCTTCGCACGGAGTTGCAAAACGTCTTCCGTACCAGTGAGTTCTTTGAGCTTGGCTTTCACCGGAGTTGTTGAGCATCTACTTGAACAGCTCATGATTTTCACGCGTAGACCAGACGCGAGATGTTTAAGTACATAAATTGTCCAGATTCACCTGAGAGCTACGGACCGTATTCTACCCAAGTCAGCCCTCAACAGTTCGAGGGCTGATCTGATTTTGACTTGGATCAGTACTCTGGTGAAGCTGCGACCAGACTCATCTCCTTGACCTTCCTTCTAGACACGGCAAAGATAGTTGACCCTCTTCGTCAAAGCGTCACACGAAGCGTGGAGGAAGCCATGAAGCCGATACCGAAAATGGTCGCGGATCAGATTGCTCGAGTCATCAACGACCCGGTTCGTGAGCCCACCACCGCGAGTCTCTCCTTGTACACCTTTTGTGCCACAGTTTTCAACCCTGCGTTCTCCCTTCATCTTGTAGAATTTCCTCCAATACCTCTCCGGAACCATGGGCGCGGTAATCACACCGAGCATGGCGAACGCCTACCGAGAGGAGCTGAAGTCCGTTCTTGCTCCCGCATTTACCGACTCCATAGAAAAGCTCGTTCGAGACACTGACGCTCTTATACGGAGTGGCTTCAATCGACGTGAGTGTCTTGCCTCGTTTTTTTTTATTTTACCGTCACACTCAGTTAATGTGGAATTGTAAACCAAGGCATCGAACAACTTGTTGTGGTTGCTGCCGAGTTATTTCACTGTTCCTCGTCCACCGAGTCTCTCACCAGCCCTCCGGCGGTTCCGACCTCGCATCTCCACTGACACACCAATCGTTTCGCATTGCAGAACCTTTTGTCGATCGGTTGTGAAAACTCGTGTATGCAGACCTTTCGTAACCCAACACCAATTCATCAAATTATTTGTTGTAACCAAGGGTGGATGTTTAGAGGGCGGTACATAGAGATATTTTAATAACTTGATGGAACCGCTTTAACATTAAGGTGCTTCGCTGTTGAGTGCAATGACGATTTGATTAACCACCTCCCGTGCCTTTGTCAGCACACTACGCATGAGTAATTGGTCCCTCGCGAAATGCAGACACACTTTGCGATAAATGTTGCTATTTTCGCCACCCACTGTCTACAGTTGAGTGTCATATTTCAGAATAATTGAATTTGCCCTGTCACCTCTTGTGTTTCACATTTTTTTCACTGCAGGGTTAAAATCACGCATTCAAAGACTTCTATTCTGGCCCTAACCCGATAGTAATCGGGGAATTTTTGGACTTGCCTTGTGCGCCGTGCATCTATGCTCATGTGTCCGTTGTTGTGTGTCCATGTGACCAGTTATTTCACTCCCCCCTTCAGATTTGCAAATGGTCACATCGAAGGTCGACAGTGGTGTGCAGTCGTCGCGGGACAAGACGGAGGCGGCCATGCGCAAACTCGATGAAGCCGTCGACAAAGTAACGAGGGAGTTCACCGTGAGTTCACTCGCCTCAACACCTATTCCCACTGCTGCCCTGCAAGTGGGTCTTTCCCTTGGTTGATCGTCGGTGTTTACTTGAGAAAACGCTGACTCCTGCGTTGGCATTGCGTGGACTTGTGTTCCGCTAGTCACTCAAACATGTCTAGGTTATGTTGAAGGTCTTTGGGATTCTGTTAAATGATATGACTAGCTCGTGGAAAGGCCCACTCTGCTCCACCCGTTTCTAACTCATGACCCGCGCAAACCGGTTTAGGCTTTTTGCGTCGTGAGGCCCACACTTGTGCGATGTGAGGAAGGGAGATTTGTTGGCTGTCACTTGTACCCAAGTGTCTTAAGGGCCAATCACCGTAATCACTTGGACTGATTTTTTCTTCCTGTTACAGCAGAAGCCTACCTTTGCGTCATGGAACACCGATAATGTTAAGCACTACGTTTTCTAGTCCCTTTTTTATGGTTTCCGTCCCAATATGGAGCCGTCGGACTAGTGGTTGTACAAATTTCACTAAGCCCATTTCCTGATTGGCTCGGTTTGACTAAAAATGTCCTTGGGGTGTGATTTTCCGTATAACCATTTAATCGTCAAGAGTGCATTGTTTGGGAAATTCCATCCATTTGTTAAACAACTCTTGTTTACAGACAGTCACATCGAGGCAAAACGAAGGCGATCAGCACCAATTAGCGGTATAAAGGTTTCATCGCGTCCGGACTTCGTCTTGTACCCGCCGGATCTGTAGATTGGCAATATTTGTTGAGCGTTTAATCAGCTTTGTGAATTTGCGGTGACTTGATTACATTGCGAAGTGCGTGCAAAACACGTCATTTTATCACGTCCGTTGGTGCGACATCAGTTCGTATTCTGAATCACGGTTCAGAATTTCGCAGATTAGCACATTCATCACGTGAACTTCATGTTTAGCACGCACTGATCCAAATCATATGGCGCCTGTTTCTGTCTAGGTTTGTTAGTTCTCATCTGGCTTGACTCATTCGCTTCGTTGCCTTTAGATGCTTCATTTTTATTGTCAGGATAAAGTAGCTCTGTGGGAATTTAGTCGCTGCATGTACCGTTTATAGGCACAGTATCTGACTTTCTCCGATTCAGGGGTTTGAAACGTTGTATTTTCCCCAGCTCAGGTATCTCCTTCGCCCTCTGCTCATTCCTTACCGTTTAGACACTGCCTATGTACTTAGCCCGTGAGTTGTGTATTGCACACGCTCAGCTTCTTGGTTTTCTTCCTCTACATACAGGTCACATTGGCAAAGAAGATGAATGAGGCTGCTCAACGGTTTCAGCAGCTTCTGCAGGCGCAGCAAAAGGCACCGCCAGCAGCGGCAGCAGCAGTGACTTCCAAGGAGACTCTAGGTAAGGGTCCAAAAGGGACCAATAAACAGCAAGCCGCTGCTGCCGTCGCCACCGCCCCCACAACATTAATCACTTCAAAACTGCAACCTTTAAGCCCGGACGCCTTGGAGTCTTATCGGAATGCCACCGATTACATCCAGAAAAACCAGTACACAAAGGCTCTCGAGACGGTAAGCTATTCTAATCGACTGTGTCCGAGTTCTTATCGCCTTTGGGAGGAGGGTATTCAGTGTGCGTTATCCTTTTTTCTCTTTTCCGAAGCTTCAATTAGTGAGGTATTTAACTTAGTCGATGCACGCCTAAGTCGGTCAGTTTTAGCCACTATTTCCTGAGGTTCATTTGTCCTTACAGCACGTTGTGTGGCGTTGCCACGGCGCCGCTAGCTTGTAGTTGTTGCTCTAACGATTTAAATTCTCTCACTTCAAGGCTCTGACATCGACTAACCAGACGGTGCTCCTGCTGGTGCTTCAGGACTTGCCGGTCGTTCAACTCTTTCAACAGGGTGTTGGCCAGGACCTCCTGCTGTCCCTGATTCATCAGCTAAGCTGCGGTAATCTACAGGACCAGCTGGAATTGAAGATTTCGTAAGTCCAAGCGTTTGAATTTGACATTTACCTGGCTGCTTTTGACTCTGTGCGCCCTGCACTCCCTTTAAATGTACCTCGGATCTCATTGTTTACTTCAAACCAAATAGACTCCGACCGTCTTGTCATGCCGATAAAGACAAATATGCGACACCCCAACTTCACAGTCTTGTGTTTATCGACGTCGAATTTCATAATAATTGTAGATTTCTGCAAGAGGCTGTAAACCACCTGCGGGTGCACGATTCAACAGTTGTTGAGTTCGGCGGCAACATCTTGTCGATGTTGGTCTCGAAGATTTCTGCTCTTCGATCCGGTCTTCAGCTTTCGCCGGCAGAGGAAAATCGTGCTGCCGCGCTCTTGAGGTCTGTCTTGAACGTGCAGGTCTCACTCCCGATGAAGCAAGCTTGATGCTTTAACTGCTGTCTTCGCTGCTTCTTTTCGTTTTTACATTATCGTGTCCGCTGTTCCCTAAATTTAAGCCTATTGGTCAATTTGTTATGTTGTTTTCCACTTGAGATCGACAAAGTTGGCAACATGATTTGAGAGATGTCTTGTAGACACGAATCGCACAGCAGTGCGACGCAATAAACAATTCAAAGCATCGTCTTTAGTGCAGGTTTGGGGTAATTGGCGGAACCGAAATTGCGGTGTGGTATTGGGTCAATGCATAAGTTCTTGCATCACATCCCTGTAAATACTGGTTCACATTGGCCGGACACGTGCTTTAGAATTTCCCCTGTGGTCTAGTGTTGTCGTGATGTGAAAGATGCCTTTTCCTTTAAGACAGGCGCAACTAGGAGGTTTGGTTGGTGATTAATCGTTTTCATAATGTGCCCTTCGAAATGGTGTATTCGCCAGTTTGCACGTTTGGATTCACATACAACTTTGGTGTGTACTTCTGGTGTGTCGACGTGTTGATGTCAGAACACTGAGTCGGTCCTAAACTTTGCGGAATCTTTGAATGATTTACGTCAGGCACTGGAGAAATGTCACACTAACAGCAAACATGTGTGTGAACCGTGAGATGTGCTCATTGACGCACATCGTTTCCTGTCAAGAGGTTGTAAGTAGATTTCAATCCAATTTAGAAAAGACGTATTTGCATTTGTCGACTGCCGACAGTAACTGAATACTTGTCAAATTGATAGCTTTGAAAGGAACCGAGTGGGAACATACTTGGTATGCGTGGTGAACCAAGTTGTAGATGGTGCGGTTGCTGTGGTTGCGATCACGGAGACGACGACAGTGTTCCGGATCTGATTGCCTGTCTCCATCTCATACCTAGACTAAACAATTTATTTTCGAACCTACGCGTATAATTACGTTCTCAAATGCATATTTGGCGACTGCTTATTCCAATGTCCCCGTAGAGCCAACGCTTACATGGAAAAACAGTCATACTAACACAATGGGGTCTGTTGGGACTTGTGCGAATGTCAGACGGCTAAAGGCCTGTAACTGAAACCATTGGTTGCTATGGGTTGTTCGATTTCGCCAATAAAACTAATATGGGAATTCAAATATGGAAGTTATGTGGCCAACCCTTTTAACTTGCTGACTTAGACATCAGCAAAAGATGTCCTCGAATTTCCAGAACTGAAGTCCACCAATCCAACACTTCCACTCTGGTTTGTGAACGATTAGACACGAGGGTCTAGTTTTCAATTAGATTTAATGGGACTCAACAGTGTTGCAGAGCCTTTGGCCGATCTTTCTTGCAGTCTCGTCCCCGAATGTCGTCGAGTCATGAACCTCACAAACAGCAAAAATCCAATCTTTGTAAATTGTTGGCGTCTCGATGAGTCCTGAGCTACTTACAACACTTTGGCAACATTCGAAATATTGACTGGGTTGACAATCCTTTATAGTACGTACACTCTTGTTTGCACAACAATTATATGGGCGCCATGTTTCAGATTACTTTCGACGATTGGCCAATACTCTGACATGGATTTGCAAAAAATTGGAAAAATAGGCTGAGATGTGGGGCAATGAATTAAGACATCTAACAGCTGTCCGAGGTTGATAGCAAAAGTAAACAACCTCTAGGTAGGTTTAACGCCCCCAAGGCACTGCTAGTTCATCTTTACCTCGACAAGGTGGACAATTGTATTATCCATCAGCATCAGGCATTCACTAACTAATGTCGACCGTTTAATTCCGCTGCAAACTTAGTTTCTAGCCAACACCAAATCGGTTGAAGTTTAATCCAGCATAAACACAAGTTATGGGACACTGTTTGTGTCAAGTTTATTCTTAAATCTAACCCAACTTTTGGGAATGAATTGCATTCAAGTAACCGTTTTCTTCGCCAGCTGAAACCTGCCTTTATAAGCCAAGGTAATAGAGTTGGACAGACCGAGCCCTTAACTTCCATCTAGCTCGAAATCCGACCCCATGTACACGCAAGAGTTAATCTTTAGCTGTGATCGCCTTCCGTAGGACATTCAAACTCTCCGGATACTTCTCTGCGACAACCCAATATTGAAAAAACGTGATCATGAAATTTGGGCAAACTGCATCACACCCACCGACCGCAGATCGACAGAATGTCTGTTAGACGCGACGTCATACGTAAACCACTTCAACCCATTCTTCTCAAACGGAGAGAACACCCCATTTTGCACCTTAAAACTCCAGTAATCGATAACGTAGCGACTGTTATTATATTGTCTGTGGTCTTCTTACTCTTGATTGGGTGTTTTATGCGTCATCGTGCAGCACCGCGACTCTCAGATTTTGAAACCCTGTGCAACAGAAATCTGGGAGGTGAGAAATAGCCAATACATAAGGGGAGATAACACAAAGAAGGCAGTGTGTGAGGCGAGCCCCGACTTCTAGATTGTGAAATGACAGCCTCAAGAGCGCAAGACTTCGCAACATCCCAGAAGCACTTTTCGAATACGACTGAACCAGTTTTTCATCAGGATGAAACCGAACCCTTGGCAAGGCGACCGATTGCCGATTCACAAGCCTTATCTGTTTAGTTCTATCCCATATAGATTAAAAAACCTTTAACAGCTTCTCACAGAATGATCCACCCGACCACGATTTAAGTGACCTGCGTTGTTAGGAGCCCCAAAATTGTCACGTATATTTTCTACTTCACAATGGCTCTATTAATCACCCAGCCTTCAGGTAATTTCATTCAGGAAGGTGACTCATCCTACTTGGAGATGGGCCTCGCACATTCCTCGGGTTGATTGCACGCGTCTTCAGTGACACTGCGGCAGAGTGTAGAATCAAGGAGGAACAATACATTCATAGCACAATCGACTCTGATTAAACGTGTGCATCAAAAGTGTAAGGCAATACACACAGTCGACTTGTCAAAAAGTTATGTAATATGGTCGCCTGCCTTCACGAAACCCAGTCAGGTTACAAAAAACAGATTTGTATAAAGGAAGCAATCTTGTGTAGCCACATGCATTTGGACCACGCAATGCTAGATCATTACCCTACCGACAACGTGTGAAAGTATCTCGGCGAGATAGGCTGACTGGAATATTTTGCATACGATCTTGGAAGCGCACGTCGCAAAACCAGCCGCCACAACGGAACCAAATTCGACAAATAGTGATAGAGGAACGGGCGCATGCATGCAAACCTACTGTTTTCGATAAGTGGCGAAATCGAGTAAATAAGAACTCGTCGTAAATTTTTAATACTCGAAGGAACCCGCTTTTGTTCAAAATGGGCTCATCACAACTTTAGTAAACAAGGATTGCTAAGGTTAGAGACATAATACACGATTCATGGAATAGAGCTGGTCCGCTTGTGTACGATTCACGAGTACGCAAGCAAAGCGATCAAAGCGCTATAGGTCGGGCATCATATTAAAATGCACAGGCTGCTACAACGATAGATCATTGACCAAGTCATTAAAATAGAAATTCGATTCGGCGCGAAATTGTCGCATTGATATAAAATGCTCGACAAGAGTAAGTGGCCCCAAGAAAGACATCAGATAGCGTAGTGAAATAACGGCACTGGTTAGATGTGCCCTTTTGTGTGACGTTTTACGTGAGTTACAGCGCTACGCCGATTAGATTCAGAAGAATTACTCTCCTCGTCATCAAAGGAGAAGGAAATGCTATCAAACGAATCAGTCTTCTCAAAGGCCGAATCACCTTGTAGAGAGTTCATGTTCCTTCCATTCGATGATTTAGATAACCCAGGGGGTTTCAGGCCAGGTTTAGACGAATTATGATTGTGTGTGGATACGCGGTGAAGGTAATTAGAACTGTGGCTCTTTGAGTATGAAATGGAGGGATGCTCGCTCTTAGGTCCAGATGAAGACGAGGGGCTAAGGTCTAAGTAGTACGCGTCATCGACATCATCAGAGTCTTCTAAGCGCTGTTGCTCTGCTATACGTCTAAAAAAAGGAAATGGGTAAATGTGATGCAAACACCCAACAAAGACTACTGTGTTAACTTACTTATTAGCTCTTCTGGAGCTGTTCCGACCGAGGCCCATGCAATTCGATAGGTGTGATGCATAGCGAGTGGCTGCAACTTTACAATGACATTTAACGCAACGACAGCAAGCAGAAAATTTATTCACAGTTTCAGACCTTGTGGAATGTAGTTGAGCGGAGTCACTTTCACCACCCTCAGCGTCATCACAATCAGCCAAAATTAGATGCGAGTATCCTAATTTTATTGCACGGTGTAAGCATAGAACATCATCCATAATGCAGGCATCAATTAATTCATCAACGATGCCATGCAGAATACTGTTTTCGGAGAGCATCATGAACGAAGACGTCATCGTTCTTCTCCTTTTAGCCCAATACTGAAAAAATTTTAATGTGTTATTAAGACCGTAAACCACTCAAGTCCTGTGAGCTGGAAAAAAAACAAGACACAGTGCTGTGGTGTGGCTGTGGCATCGGATTAGGGCGCAGACATGTTGGACCACCTGGCCGTAGCCAATCCTGTGTCTCTCTGTGTTCCAATGGCATGCGAGGAAGATAAGCAGCCAACCAGAGAAGGACACTACTGAGATGCAGTATATAATGAGCGGCGTGGCCAGCGTGGTGGACTCGGATGAAAGGCGCCTGACGCGTGGCCCTGGATTCTGATTGGTCATTAAAGCCTGTTCTGTTGTACCAGTCTTTTTCTTATTAGGGCTCGGGCATTCTACATGGCGTCGGATTAGGGCGCAGACATGTTGGGCCACCTGGCCTCAGCCAATACCGTGTCTCTCTGCGATCCAATGGCATGC